GTAGGGGTCATAACCGTCTATATGGTGAGAAAAAAAAGCTTTTCTTCAGAGGAGTCCTATATGTAACAGAGGTTGACCTCAACACAACAGCAGCTTTGCATTTGCAGTTCTTAGATAAAATATCTACAGGACATGAATATACACATTCAACATGAACTACCCATCCATCCATTTTATCAACAGGGCAACAGGTGGGATTCACCCTGGACAAGGTGTCAGTGTATCACCTGATCTGCGTGTCCTTGTGCAGTGGAAGGAAACCCACACAGTCCTTTATGACATGGCTGATTCCTATGCCACTGAGGAGCATCCTCTAGAGGAGCCTTATCATCTTAAAGCAAAAGGAAATTATTGGCATGCTGGACAGAGTCAACTGTGGCTGCAGCAAAAAGCTTCTTAAGATGGATGAGGAAATTCAAGGAGGCAAGGCAGTTTATGTTTTGTCATGATGAGCAGAATAAGAGTACTTGTGCAAGAACAGCTGTGACCGTGTTAAAATCAGATTAAAGTCAGCCACGGTTCTGACTAGTGACTAGTTCGGTCCTGATGCCATGACAAGCTATTAAAGGATGAGGTAAATAAATCCTGACAGCACAACATGATGGGAGACAAAACGAAACTTGCCTGAAATAAAACAGATTAAAAGCAAAGTCAAGTGACAAATGTGATGACACAAACTATCACGAGCAGGCCTCTAAAATAACAGCACTGTATAGATGGCTTTTCACATCAGGCAGTTTAACTCCAAGTGAAGAGGGTTTGACACTTGGTCTGACTGACAACCTGAGTTGTAGTTCTCTTCAGAAGAGCCTCATCAAGTCCTCTTCCTACAAAACTCTTCATTTTAATGACACTGTCTCACTGCACCCTCTGCTGGAGCGGCTTCACTGTTACACTTTTCTGAATTCTGTGAATTACTGTTGGATATTGGATATTGATTTTCTGTATACAGACTTATTAAGAAAGGCCAAACTGTTGCACTGGGCGGCACGGTGGTGTGGTGGTTAGCACTGTCGACCCACAGCAAGAGGGTTGCCGGTTCGATCCCGGGTGTGGGAGCCCTTCTGTGCGGAGTTTGCATGTTCTCCCTGTGTCAGCGTGGGTTCTCTCCGGGCACTACGGCTTCCTCCCACAGTCCAAAGACATGCAGATTGGGGACTAGGTTAACTGGTGACTCTAAATTGTCCGTAGGTGTGAATGTGAGTGTGAATGTTTGTCTGTCTCTATGTGTCAGCCCTGCAATAGTCTGGCGACCTGTCCAGGGTGTACCCTGCCTCTCGCTCGATGTCAGCTGGGATAGGCTCCAGCCCCCCCTCGACCCTCAAGAGGATGAAGCGGTTAGAAGATGAATGAATGAAACTGTTGCACTGGGTGACATATCATTACAATAAACCTGAGCATTGCACTTTATTTTCAGTTGAACCCACTGACACTGTTCTGCTGCTGCAAATATATTCACAATGTGTGTTAAAACAAAACACACAAAATAGTTTCCATTTTTCACTCCTGTTAAATAACATTACCTAAAAACTACAGTGCCCCAGGCCCCAGCATTTGAGGACATCACTGTATGTAGCCTTTTTTTCCCAGACACATTCTCACCCCCAGTTTATCAAATACCGATGCCTGTTCAGTGGCCCTACATGTCAAAATATGATGCTCTGAGTACCCCACCAAGGTCAGTTTTGGAGGCTCAGGAATGGCATTTCAGTGTGCCTTTTCAAAATAAACTACTGTTTTCACTGAAAATTTACAGTTTTCACTGCATACAGTCTTTTTTCAAAATAAACCTGAGATGTAGGTTTACTTCATTTTTTTAGATTTACTTCCTTAGGTTTCCGCAAAAAAAGTACATGGTTAGGTTTAGAAAAAACATCATAGTTTGGTTTAAATTAAGTAGGCTATGTTGTACTGTAACATCACGACCTACATCATTCTTGTAGTGTGCTAGACATACTAGCATACTATGCTACCTTGTCAAGCCCTTTTCACATAGAGCGCGCAAAGATCAGACCTCCGCCGACGAACCCATTCATTGTGTATGTGCTACCGCGGCACAAGAGCGCACCGCTCTGCCACCGAGCCAAGCAGCGCGCCGCCAGCCTCCGCTCGAATTGAAACTTTTTAAATTTCACCGCACGACAGGATTCAGGACGACACCTCGGCGCGTCCAATTGCAGAGAAGAGCCTGAAGGAGACCAGGAAGCGGTCACCATGGAGCTGTAGCTCCTGAACGAGCCTCTATTCCCCCAAATCCTGTCTTGCGCGCCTTGCTCTCCACTTGCTCTGTGCCCTACCCCCCGGTGGGTGCTGCAAAAATCGCACTCTGTGTCAAAGAGGCTTTATTAGATAGCTTGATTGGCTTTTGGTTTCACACGGGACATAAACAGTGGTGTCCTGGGTTAAAGTCCTGTGTATTTTTTGACCCATCCATCTGCCTTCCCACCAACCCTATGCAGACTTTCTCGCCAGTTACTACAGCAGTTGCTAAGAGCATCATAAAATTACACTGCCTGGTACGTCTCATCCTGACACTAAAGGGTGCCTCGATGCGCTGGTGTCCGACAGCAAGGGCCACTGCCCAAGCATAAATATTTGACCAGCTGGCAGTGAGAGTGTGTTTTTTGTTTTTGTTTTTTTTTAAATAAAAAGAAAGTATATTTTTGCGACCCACTTTTAAAGACTTATATCTTAACCCTATGGGCCCGAACGATGCATAGTGCATCCAAATTCACACCTGTTCTTCTCTATTGATTTCCTCCGCGACTGTGTGTCATAGGGAGAAGCCACGCATATCACGTGAAACAGTGGAATTGTAGCTTTCCAACAAGATCAAGCACTTGTCGGTAGTGTTTTTTCACAGCGAAAAAAAAAAAAAAAAAGTTACACTATAATTATATATAACTGAGTTTCATACAGCTCTGCACACACATTACTCTTGGATGGATTACTCGCAAATGCAGGCTCGCACAGAAATGCCACGCATATCACATGAAAGCGCAGGACCAGAGCTTTCCAGTGATACCACACACATCATGGTGCTGTCATCCCATCATGCTATAAATCCAGATTAATTGTCTACAAAATAAAAACCTAACGAATTTCTTTTCAATCCATTATACAGATCTTGTTATCAGTCACTTCATATAGTGAGGAATATCGTATCTTACCACGTCTTAGGCTTGCGTGTGTTTCTCCCTGTCTATCCACATTTGTAGTCCGGCTTTCAATATGCAAACATCTCCATATTGTCCAGTTGACACTCCATCAAACTTTGTATGACAAGACCAGCCACTTCACCTTTGCGCACCCAGACAACTGTAGCCTAATTATGCATGCTGACAGGGCCGTAGTCACCATATACATTGAGGGGGACACGTGTCCCCTCCAATGCCCCAGTTTTTTTTTACTGCAAACAAAGTGGCAAATATTATCTTGGAGGACATCATTGCACTTGGTTGACTATTTTTCTATGATCTTAGATGTAAATATTGCATGTTTCTTTCAGATAAAACACATTTTTGACTTATGAATGAGTCAATGGAATTTCTTGCAATAATGAAAAAATACTGACAATCATGTCCGCCTGGCACAAACCACATGTTTTGGACAACTGTGAAGTGACAGAATGTCCCAGCATCATGGTTCTTATATTGCCAGATTCCAGAGAGTCTCCCCTCTTCATATATGGCAGAATATGTCTTTTTCCAACTTGCTATGGTGAGATACATGTAAAAATGTAAGAATTTAGTAACACAGATTTGATTTTTTCATTGATATAAAAATTAATATAAAATACAGGCACATAGGATGATATGAAATGATGGCAAATCTGGATAGCCCACATTGTCCTGAAAAAAAAAACAAGATATAGCATGTGTATGTAGCCTTTATAATGACTGTGATATGAGTTTAAAAGTAAAGGCAGTAAAAATACCCCAAAAACGCCTAGGGCCCATAGGGTTAAGTAGGAACCACAATGCTCAAGGCTGAGTGCTGCAAACAAGATGGAGAATAGACGGACTAATGTGTTGGTTTTCTTCTTTTCACAGGATTTGTTCACAGTAAGAGAAACATAGAGCAATACCAGCCTTATCCTTCAAAGTTTTTTTTCACATCAGCCTTCCAAAATGACTTTAATTCTAATCACCAAGTATATCTCCAAATGTCAAAAGATGCTTTTCAGGCTCTGACAATCATCCAGAGTATCCTAACAAAAGATGTTTCTGTGACATTTACTGTATGCAAATTAACACATCTAAAATGTCTCCTGTTTGCATCTGAATGCACAACATATTCAAGATATCCCACACAGACACAGTGCAGTTTTCGTATATAAATCCCCAGGATTTTGGTAAGAATGCTTTAGAGAAAACAGCTTTTATTCATTGTATGCCCTACAAACAGAATACCCTTCAGTATGGTCTCAGATATGACACACTAAAACGTTTCTTAATGTTTGCCTCAAACACTAAAACATTAATATGAAATAATATGAAACATTAAATATGAAATGTTTTGATAGATCCTTGATTGTACCTTTGCTTGTATTTTTAATTTTCTTGTCTTATAGCCGTTTTTGTTTTATTTTTACCTCTTGGTGAATGTTTTATTTTTATGTGTACCGACATGTAACTCCTATTTATATGTCCCTGTAGAGCTCTCCTGCCCTGGGTGAGTTATTACTTTGTAAATAAAGGTTTCAGTCAATCAATACATAGCATTTTCAAGACTCTGCCAATCTAATACAATAACACAAACACTGTAAATAAATAAAACAATATAACACTGTCTATTACTATAGAAACACGTAATGTTGATTTCTTTTGATAGTGTTGCAAATATATTATGTAATAGAAGAGAATAACAATTTTAAAATTGTACAAATACAGTGTGATCCACACCTATGACGACTGCACCTTTTCACATGATGCCCCACCTTCCTTCTGGCACATTGCAGTTTCATTTGTCTTGCTGTTTTTCTCAGTTGCCCTCAAACATCTGAGGAAGAAGCAGCACCAGGCTCTCACATATCCTTCTGACCAAGGTAAGCAGCATTACAGCTGTCCTCAAAACACACATACATACATAGGCTCAGAGGAAAAGGAAATATAAGCTAGCAGAGCCTGAAAGTTTCTCATTTGTGTGATATTGATTTGTACTTTTAGTCAGGAAACAGCAACTCAACAGCATTTTTTTAAAGAAACATGCAGAGTGCTGCTGAGGTTTTGAGCAGCTCTCTTCCAAGTTAGTCTGTTTCTTTAGATTGTGAAAAGCGTCATCTATCTCAGTACTCACTCTGAAAATCCCTGTAATGTAATGTCTTGTACTTGGTGTTGAGGTGAACTAACAACAGTTAACCTCACTTAATCTTAGGATTCGCGTATTTGTTGCTTGGTTTTCATCTGTGTGCCAGTTAAAACTTAGGCTTTTCACATATGAAACAAATGTTGGAGTCAAATCTTACCAACAGGTAATTTTATCTCTTTTTTTTTTTGGACTCTTTTAACATGATTATAAGTTGAATCATGATTATGGGTTTTGTCAGGACAAGCACTGCCTGAAACTCTAAATGCATATGGTTTTGAGTCATTGAACAGGTGGACAGGTTGAACGAGATCTGCCAATTCACTCACCAGCACACTTTATTCATGTCACTTCCCTTTTAGCGTCCCCACCTGTGCCAGCCTGCAGTGGCCAAGACAGTTCAATGCATGCAGCCTAAAAAACACATGCAAATGAAGACAATATCAGCTTTATTTAGCAAAATGATGCAAAGAAATAAAATGCAAAGTAGAAAGAAGAACATTAACCAATTTAACAACACATACAGAAACCACAATCAAACAGGAATGTCACCAGCCTAATACAACAGAAATTCACCAGGAAACTAAAAAAAGAATGGCTAAGAATTTTCATTTGTCTCATTTGTTCAGATACTTAAATGGTGACACTAATCCTGGGTGTCCACTTTGAAATTGTATTCACTGTATAGATCTTCTGTGCTGTCGGGGGGAAAGACGTGTCTGAAGCATTCATGTTTTCACTGACATGGATGTAAACCGTAAGAGAAACAATACAACTAGAAAATTCCTGTCGCTTTGCTTTTCCTCCTACTTGTGTTTTATTTGTGCATTTGTCTCTCAGCTTCCATAGATTTGGGTGTTACTTTTGCTTGCACCTGATACGACACACACTCACACACACACACACACACACACACACACACACACACACACACACACACACACACTGAGGCATTAACTGACACATTTTTCTCACTTGGGTGTGTTTACATTTCCCAACACAGCCATTAGTTGGGACTCCCTGAATTCAAACAGCCAGCACTCCTCTGCAGTATGATAATGCCTACTCCTAGTGTTAAGGCAGCTTCAGTACAAACTCATAGCAACTCAAGTCCGTTACATGCAAATACATTGCTGATAAAGGATACCATTGTGCACTGGACACCTACTTTTTGTGTGTTTGATAAAACAGTGACACGAAAGTATAATTAACATAAAGCTGACCAAGAGAAGAGTGGGAGTTTTGGTCATGGGAGAGCAGGGATCCAATGACTGGTCTGACAATCGGTTCCATTATAATGTAAAAATGCAATGCCACCAAACCAGCTTGTTTACATACAAGCACATCATCGAGAAAGTGTTGTCACAACTTCATGGCTTTAAAATGCTTTATAACTTGATAAGCAACTTTTCATACTTCAGAGAGAAGAGATGGAGATACCAGGTTTCAGTCTGGACCAAGGGTGTGTGTAAAGGGATAGCAAGGGCAGCATTGCCCTAAATGTGATTCCTTTCAGCGGAGAGCAGTGCCCTACCCCTAACCTAAACTGAATTCTAGGCTGAACCTTAAAAATCAAGTCTTAACCCTAAAACAGGCCTTTGAAGAAGTGAGGACTGGGCAGAATGTCTTCTATTTCCAAAAATGTCGTTGGTGAAGTCTGTCGGTCCTCACTATGTAGCACAAGAACACACACAAGTTAAATGAAGAAAAAAAACCTAAATGAAAAAGAAAAACGAAACTAAAATGCAAAACAATGATTTTCAGGCTTTTGAGCGTTGCCACGTTTTATGTAGCACCATCTGTATTAGGACACAGGGCATTGAACAGGAGCTTGAAAATCAGTGTTTTGTAAGTCAATTTTACTTTGAGGGTGGGGTGGTGGGGTGCATGGAGGGTGGGGTGATAGTACAATATCTGATGTCGGGCATCTATTAGGGTTGAGTATCTGTACTCAGACAGTGTGGAATTAAAACAGGAAGTAGGTGGGACTTCAACCTGAAATAGATGTGGCCTAACCAGAAGCTGTTTTTTTAAAGACTGAAATTAATATGTTTTGATAAAAAAAAATTCTATATTTAATATCTATTAGAACAGGATTTACAGAAAAATCTCTGGATTGATCACAAGTTAGAGAGTGAATACGGCAACCCAAATCAGGATTTACCGTCATCATGAGGCACACTTTTTATTTGGATAATACCTGTACTTGTAAAAAGTAAAATCTCCGCACCAGATATTAATTTCATATGAGTATTCGGCTCAACCCCAACATCAGTGCAGTATTCATGTTGTGTATGTTCTGGTGTGTACCTGGGTGTTAGTAAGCGTTAACTGTAGTTTGTTGTACATGGATATATTGTGTGTCTATGGGCTGTCTTATCTTATCTTCCTTTTACTTCACTCTGAGAGATCAGAACTGCTTTTTGGATTACAAGACTTTACTCTAGTTTATTTTTGCTTACAAGCTTTTTCCCTGCTTTTCTCCTTCTTCAGCAGATATCATGGAAAAGGGTCAGGGACCTCCTCCAGAACCGGCACCGCCGTATCCTGGTCCCCCTGTGGACTACAATGTGGGAGTCTACCAAGCTCAGCCTGGCATCCAGCCCAGTAAGAGATCAGGACCTTCATCTGTATCATTTTATCTGCATGTTTTAGCCTAATATAGCTCTCATATTCTGGAGGTATTCCTGGTAGGATCCTTTTGGCGACTTGTTTGTCATTCTGTTCTCACATCCAGGTCAACAACCTGTTTACCTGCACAGCCCACAACAAGCTCAACCTGGTGAGTATCTCTCTTCAACTGTTTCTCACAAGTTATTAAAATAACTTTGAATTTGCAGAATATAGTAAAAAGTCAGAGAGCTTTGAGTCCAGTGACTGGTTGGTGTGGATTGTTAATGTTAGGTGTAGGTGTTACAGAGTGTTGGGTGTCTCCCTCACAGTGACCCAGGTGGTGGTGGTGCAACACCTGCCGACTGATGCTCCTGGACAGATGATGTGTCCTCACTGCCAAAGCGCAGTAGTCACTAAAACTGAGCACAAAAATGGTTTGCTCACCTGGTTGATTTGTGGCGGACTGGGAATCATCGGGTGAGTAGCGAACCCAACACACACACTCATATAAACATCATACAGAAATGTCATGGAATAAACTAATCTTTTCTCTCACCGTAACATAGTTTTCATTCAACTTCAAATATTAAAAACACCAGTTCACCTGATTTGATTTTGTTTTTAATTGATATGATGAGCTGAATGAATGTTTTAATGAGAGTTCACACAACGCATTAAATTAAGTTTGTGAAGACACATAATGACCATATTAACACACTTCCCAGCATGCATTGTTTGAGGGTTAAAACTCTCCAGAGACCCCTCTTTTTCGTAGTTTGAAGAAAACATACGTATTGGAAACTTGCTGCCTGTCTTCAATACATGTTTGAGCAAGTCATTCCTTAATTTAGTTAACTCACATTTTTAAGGCAGCAGGGGAGTTTCTTAACCAGCTTAAAATGAATGATGAAGTATTATTCTTACTTCATTCTGATACTCCACACCAGCTGCTGGCCTTGCTGTCTCATACCATTCTGCGTGGATGACTGCAAAGATGTGGAGCATACCTGTCCCACCTGTAACAACGTCCTGCACATTCATAAACGCATGTGAAACAGCACTGCAGTTTCAACACAGCTGAAGTGGCAACAAAAGGTGCAGGAGTCAACCGTGACTAAATAAACATCTGGACAGGAGCCAAACCCCGTTGCGCAAACACAACGGACGTCATCATGAACTCTGTACTCACTCGTGAAAAAGCAGGTTGTACGTGTATTTTACACAGTACTGTACATATTGAAGATCAAGAAAAGCTGTGATTTAATCTTTTCTCTTATCTTTTGGTTTAAAATGTGTAATCATGTTGTAAATATTGTAATGTAAAATTGTATAAAATCATAATCATATTTTTCTTGACTGATGTCTCAGTATAATATATGTCTGTGTTAAATTTAAGGAAGATTGTAGGATGGTAAATATACCATGAATGTAATTTTTCTTATATTTATTCTGTCCAGTTGATTCTTTTTCATTAAGTTTTGTTTTTTTTAATGTAAAGTCATATTATTTAGCTTTCCATTTGCATCTAAAGTTAATATATTGATTTTATTTTCATTGCAGGTTGAATGTTTATATTGATTATTTTTTATTTCAGATAGCTATTGAAGACTGAATATTTCAACATATACAAAATCAATCAATTTGTGTACCATTAGTCAAAAATCTTCTTCTTCTCTAAAATAAGTTTTTTTGGGTGATATTCCAGTCTTTTAAGATGACGATAAATTGTTAAATTTTGATGAAACACAAATAAGCTGTTACATAGCTATCATAGCTTAATCGTCATTTAGGTGTATTGATAAACTCATTGTGATAACAACTGAGAGTAGGGGTCTTTGTATTGCAATAATAACCAACTCACTGCTTGCACCATGAAATGATTCAAATGAATAAATCACTAAATAATCACTATTAAAATGTCACTTTTTTTCAATCAAAAGTTGCCAATAGGCATTTTTCAAAGAAAAAAATAATGTTGGTACTAATATATAACTCTTCAAACCATGAAGCAAAATAATGATTTTATGATTATATTTTTGATCAATCTATGTTTTGTTTCTGTAATGTGATCAAAATTTGACTTAAAATGCTAAAGCAGGTCTCAGTCAGTATAGATTGTATTTATCAAACATAAATAACACCATAAGTCCAAGCTAATATTGCTTTAATGCAACTCTTAAAAACACTGTTGGTGACTTAACAGCAAAATTGGACCACTGTTGCAGTGCCATCTAGAGGGGGTAGGGAGAAGATTAACATGTGTAATATGTTAACATTGAGCTGTCCTCAGTGGTTCATCATCTGTGTCACTTGTACCAGCCAACAGTCTCTGATTTGTATGATGGCCAAGAGAACTTAATGGATGCAGCTAAACAAATACAAATAAATCTCCACATACAGTAGGTAGCTTTTAGCCAAGACTAAAAACTGCCTTTAGCCAACTTAACATTTTTTTTACTGTTTTTTTTTCAAGATCTGGAGTTAATTATTTCATTATTTCAAGAAAATAAGCTTTGTTAGCTCAAGATAAGATACTCAAGCTGTTATTGTGAAAACAATAGGTCATTTCCACTGATTTAAAGAACACCTATTATGCTTATTTTCAAGGTCATTTAATATATAAGTATGTAATACTGGGGTCTAGTGGAATGGATTTATGAGCTCTAATGTTCAAAAAACACATTATTTGTCTTATACTGCCCATTGCTGCAGCACCTCTGTCTGATACTCTGTTTGAGGACATGTCCCACCTCCCCAGCAGCCCAGTCTGCTCTGATTGGTCACCTCACTCAGTCTGTTGTGATTGGTGCAATGCTCAGAGCGTGTATTGGAAACGTCCGCCCCTTACCTTAACTGATTTCACCTCTGGAGGCTCTATGAGCTGCTGAAAACCCCACAGACTCCGAAGCACCTTTGCAACACAGGATGAAGCAGGACGTTTCACAGTGGTATGTTTTTACTGTGTAGCTGTCCTATATTTCAGCTGTAACATGTTAACTGTAACTTATCTGACCCTATGGTACCAACTGTAAGTCCATCCTCTGACTGAATGAACTTGTAAATGTCTGCTGCAGAGTACAAAAGGTTTCTAACAATATAGTCAATTACTACATAACGTGGAAACACCAACAGCAGCACTCAGCTGTTACATGACGTGGTGTAAAGCATAACTCTTTTTTTTTATCGAAGCAGACTTATCTATGATCAGACTAATGTAGCTTGTATTGGGTAATAATACCAAAGTTATTATGAATTCTGCTATTAACATATTTCCCGTTAATACCACACAAGTTTTAAGCCGTGAATTGATCAGTTTTAGCACAGCAGATTGAGATGACAGATTTCTGTATTCTACAAAACAAATGAATAGAAATAACGGTACATTCAGATGTCTTAGCTGTCGTGTTTACTGAAACCATTCTACTAAAATTTAGCTGCATTTTATAATCATCTTCACTTTGTGTTTGTAATCTACAATATGTACAAAGTACCAATGTATCACAGTTTCTCCACATCATTTATATGAAATCAAAGTTTCATAGTAGAACACATTTTGCTTCCTGGATCAGTATTTGTTCTTTGATTTGTATGCAGTGTCTCCTGAGTCTTGCTTTGCAATTTATATTTATAAAATTTTAATACATATTTATAAAACAGTATGACTTGACTCTTTCTTTTACCTATTAGGTTTTGGGGTAATGGACCAGGTTCCAGTTCATCCTACATATTTGATACACCATCCAGGCCTGGAGCATGACTGTTTGAAGCCATACACCCTGCAGAACATCCACAACATTTACCGGTATGACTATGGACCCTTCAGGCTATTAATGTTTCAGATATATCTGAAACATTAATAGTGTCCAATTCTTTCCATTCAGGCATCCATCCTGTCCTGTGTTGTACTACGGATATGCCAGGATTTTCCTGATCCGGCTGGTCACTGCATTGGCCTCCAGCTGCCCCTTGGCTGAAGTGAGAGACGTGTAAGGCAACCACTTTGTCCTTTGAGGGTCTCTCATACTGGGATGCCAGGTCCTTTTGGATGGGGCTTTTCTGAATCTCCTCAACAAATGGCAAAATATTGCATTTAAATATTGATTTCCTTGTGTTTTTAAATTAAGTGCTTCCCTGAATCCACCTTTCTTGTATATCTTTCAAGTGTTGCCATAACTATATATATTTGATCTGATGTTATTATGTTGGTAATAAAAATAAAATTATTTACAAATTACTGTATGTGGGGTCTGTTTTTACAGCCTGTGCTGAGGTTAAAACTAAACTAAAAGAATACATTTTGCTTTATTTTTCATTTTTCTTTAACATTAAAAAAAAAACTCTGCGTATAGCTCATAGTAACATATACAAAATATATGAAACTTATGAAATCTCAGATTCCTCTGTAATAACAGAGTCGCCAGGGTTACATGTTGAGTCATGAGGGTCTACCAGCTCTGTTTAAGTTTCTCCCTCTTTCTCATTCAACTCAACATAAGGGCTCGTACTTGGTTTGAAACCTGTTGATGGTG